TCCAAGTGCAGGAATCTCACTAGCCCTAACTCAAGAACATAAAATCTCTAGGAAAGAAGACAGTACTTACTGGGGGAAGGAGGAAAATGTCTGAAGTTAAAATAGAAGGAGAAGAAGCAGGGGATGATTCCCAACCTAGACTGCAAGAGGTGCTCCATGCAGCATCTGCTACATCAGTCTGTGGCACAGCAGAGGCATGCCCTTAGGTCTCCACTCACAGAAGCTCTTCACTAACGGCCTACGACTCTTTCTTCAGCCAAGGAAAACTGAAGAAAGAAAAAGCAGGTACCTTTACATTTCTGGGTCTTTGGAAGGGTGGTCTGACTCCAGATCTCTTCTATTTATTTTCCCTTGGGAAGCTTGCAGAGCTACAAGCAGCTGCAGGGAAGCCACAGTGCCCTTTCCAGCAGCATAAAAGTTAACAGAATGCACAACAAAACATCCTCTGGACTCCAAGCAGACCTGGTGTGGTTTTATGGAGCGAGCTGGGAGGGGAGATGATCACCACTGACACAAAGCAAGTTCAGTTCCAGGACAGCCACACGAGTATTTTACAGACAGCCAGTCAGACAGCACAAGTCTCACACCAAGCTACAGAGATGTCACACCACAGGATCCACTGTGGAACGACTGCACAGCTCAAACAAGGACCAGGAGCACTGCTCTGAGGTTGGTATCTCCAGGAAGACCTAACCTTGGACTGCAAATGTCCATCAGTGTGGCTGTCAGCACTGCCACGAGAAAACAAAAAGTAGCAATCCTACTGTCTGAACATGTGCTTGGTTAAAAGGAAAAAAAAAAACAATTAAGATTTTATTAACAGAAAGTGAAGCAATCCAGGTGTTGTGTCCTGAAACCAAACACACAACAGCATTAGATGCAGTGAACCTAATTCCCAGTGGTAATTCCTAAAAGCCAAGCGAGCAGCCACATAATTGCTTTAAGTAAACTCTGCCTTAAAGACAAAACTACATTTGAATTGGATATGGAGAGAGGGGAGGATGACACCCCTCTAAAGAAGATCCTCCGAGAGACGTAACTGTAGAAAGGCTGGTAAACACAGCATCGATTGGGAGTGAGGTAACCACAACCACCACTGTCTCAAATGAAAAGGGATTCAAGGGCTGACCCAGAAAACAAGCATCGTAACCGCCGGGATGAAATTTTAATGATAAACACAAGATGCTCCTCGTGCAGGCCAGATTGAATTCTCTGATGTCAGCCAGCAAACTCAAGGCACTCTGAGAGAGAGGAGCTGCTAGCAGCCACCTTCAGCTCCCAGCTCAGGTTGCACTTCATCAGTCCTTGATATTCTGCCATCTTCTGGCTCGAGCTCTGGCAGCAGCGTGGAGAAAACAGAGGAGTGCATGAAACAGGTGTGTTTCTCTAAGGGAGAGCTAACCCTGGATAGTTTATCTTTGCTTCCTTACACAAAGGGATCTGCTCCTGAGCCGGTTCAGGTGAACCATGTCTCTGTGGATCACACTCCTAGCTGCTGTTTTAAGCCACAACCTGTAAAAATTTCTTTTCAGAAAGATTAAAATAATGCTCCACAGTGACTAAAATACAAATTATTCCACTTTCCAGCAGAGTTTGAAGCAGCAGAGGGAAGAGCATGATACCAGGTCTATCACAGCACAGGTTCAAATCAAGTAAGACTGTTCCCAGGCTTGCTCCAAGACTCCAAATACACAACAGCCCCACCATTTCTGCTAGAGAACCTCCACCCCTTTTTTTCTTTTCTAGAATCAACTTCTGATCTCCCAAGATCTGAGCTGAACATCCTGAATCCAGGGAGCAGCTGCTACACACTGCCACAGTTTCCAGCTCTGAAGACAGGGTGTAATGCCTGGCTGGCCTGACTGAGCTGAGCCAGAGTACTGCAGCTGCTCCCCAAAGTCAGGCACCAAAAAACCTGCTAAAACCAGAGTAGCCCTATTTTTCTCCAGTGTAGCAACCTGACTGTAAAAGAAAGAAAGGTAAATAATCTCACCAGCCACTGCTCAGGAAATGTCACACAGAAAATCAGCTTTAAGAACTCCACCAACTTCTCAACTCTTGCAAAGTAACACATCAGTTTAGCTTTATGCACACAGCCAGTCTTGCTGTAATCTACCATTATTTATATCTAAGCACATAACTGTTCATGAAACTGGAGATATAATCATTAAATGTAACAGATAATTGATATTTATACTGAAATCTGACTTCTGTTAACCTCAGCTATTAAATTACTTCTTCAGTACAAAAAGAATGCAACAGCTAGTTATTGATCACCAGATTGATTACACTTTTATGACAAATTTGAAAGCACAATGCCATTAAGTACAATAAGCTGGGAGAGAAAGGGGAGGGTTATGTTTGGACTTAAAAAGAACAAACAACAAAACCCCAACAAATCCCTCACTACCTATCTTAAACACTTAGCAAATGCACATAACAGACAAAGTACTTCCCTGCACCATTTGCTAATGTCCTTATAAGTTTTAGTTATAGTTATATATACAGTTAGCTTTAACTTTAGTTGTAACTTTAAGTCTGTCTTGATATTTAGCATGAGGTATTATTGGGAGGTGCGTGCTACTGTTTTGCAGACTTTGATCATCACCAGCAGAAAAACAAATGAATCTCCTTTTGGGCTAGATTCACAGAATAGTTTTCTACTTGCAGCCATTTAAATGACATTTTCAGAGATCTCGAGCTACCAAAGCAGAATGAAGGGAAAGGAGTAAACAATAATGTAACTTTTGTATTCTAATACTCTAAACATTTCATTTACTCACCAGGTGAAGTCAAGCAGTCAGATTTTGATTTCCAGATGTTGCTTCATCAAATATACACTGATAGCTTCATAAAAAGTTACTTTGTGACTAAAATTAATTTTCTCAGAGAAAGAAAATAACTGAAAAGTAATTTAGGTGAAACCCATAAGGTCACTTTTCCTAATGGATAAACACGTGCAGCTTTTTTCTCAGTGGCCTCTTCCCTACTCACCTACTTTCATGAACCTGTCAGGAATCTAATTAACAGCACCACTTCCCCTCACAATGCCAACTGATGCAAACTAACCAAAAGAATCAAGAGATACTGAGGGAACTGAGGAACCAACATGAAAAGACTGTAAGTGCATAAACCCTATTTGCATAATACTGAATATTAAGATATGATAACCTTTATTTTTATCTTTATAAAATAATGCTAAACTAAGATATGGACTATTTTGAGTTTAATATGCAGGATTATCCTTTGTTGATTTAATTGTTTAGAAATTTAATTTATTCTGCCTCCATTCTATATATTGTATGTTTGGATATAAACACAATGGAGAAAACGAAGAAAAAGAAGAGCTGGAGGTTTTGGCAGCAGCATGGAGACAACTGGGGTTTCTGGCTCCCAGAAAAGTACAGGAGGTTTCATTAGAGCCAGTGGAACAGACACAGCAGTGCAGATCCCAGCCAAGGCCAGGGAACACGCTGCCCAAGCTGAAGGGCACAAAAGCAGTCAGGTTGCCCCTGCAGAGCTGGATCCCAGCTGCAGGCCACAGCAGGCTGTGGTGGTGGCCCAGGGAGGTCCCAACAGGGACACCAGCCGAGGGAAGACCTGCAGCACTCCAGGCACAGGAGTTCCCCCAGCCCCCTGCACGGCCACTCTGCGGGTTAACCGCTGTGTGGCACTGCCCCTCCAGAGGTCACAGCTCTTCAGCGAGGCTGCCACTGCTCCAGCACAGCCCTCACAGCAGCAGAAGCAGCACATGAAGGGCAGAGGAAGAGAAGCAGCAGTCAGTGAAGAGGATGGCAGAGAGAACAGAAAAGGAGACCTCCACATGCAAAGGTAAAAAGCATCTAGTTAAAAAAAAAAAAAAACAAACACAAACCAAACCAATCATCAAAGATTAAGATTTGCCCTTGCTCCTGCTGTCTGTTAATTCAGATTTCCACTCTCAGTTGCCCAAGAGCATTCAAAAGCATTTCAATGTATATGGGAAATACCTGCATGCAACATATGTAGAAAATCATGACACCTTTCTTATGTCCAGTGTGTGAATTTCATAGTATTCTGTAAGCAGTCCTCTCTAATCCCACAGTGCATTAAGCATACCTTTAGCACAGCGTGCTACCCTAGAATCCCAAACTGATTTGGGTGGGAAGGGACCCTTCAGGTCATCTGGTCCAACCCCCCTACAGGGAGCAGGGACATCCCCAACTAGAGCAGGTTGCTCAGAGCCCCATCCAGCCTCACCTG